TGTAAAATGTCTTTTTGCATCATGCAGCAAAGACAAAAGCTTCTAGTCTGATGTGTTGTTGTTCCTTCCTTCACGCTGGACTTCATGTGTTCACTGTTTATGCTGAAATGATACGTTGTGCAGTCGTGCCTGGTGGCCAGTGAGACTACACAGTAATTTCCTGGGAAGATTACTATTGTTGTGAAGATGTCACTGACTGAAAGTCTGTCCTCAAGCATGCAGGTCTAAATACTGTTTATTTATTTTCTGCTTCCCTTAAAAAAAAAAAAAAGAAAAACCTGCCGATGCTCTGTGTGCACGTCAGACCGGCTCTTTGTCTGCGTGATGGAAATCCACACACACCGTTTCATTACGTGTCTCGTGAGTTTTATTTACTGCACAGTGGCTCTACTGTCCTGTTGTCAGATGGTCTAAATGTCAGGTTGCCCTGCAGAAGAAAGGTCATACCTTGAATCGTCTGTCACAGAGCGAGACCGGGGGTTTTGTCCAATGAGTAAAATATAACGTAGAGACACACGATCCACCGTCAGGCTTCTGCGGTATTGAGGTTTCACTTATCAGATTAGGGGGTAATTTCTAAATACTGCGGATGTAATGGAGATGTCATTATTTCTTTTCCACAGAAATCCTCAGAGACACAGATGCAGAGCCAGAGGAACAGTAAATCTTCACACACACACACACTCACAAAAACATGGCAGTAATTACCAACCAGACAAGAGCTGTAATTCTGAAAAAGGCCTGATGAAAAACTGCCCCGGTTCGCTAACCTTTGTGCCTCTTAGGGGAAGAGAAATCCCTTTACTACAAGTACTTATTTAGAGTGCTTAGCCTTTGTGCTGAAATAATTTGGGTTGTTCGCTGTGCCAATGGTCAAGTATTTTCTGTGTTGTAACACCAGTCCAATGAGAGAGATTTTACTCTTTTTTTTTTTCCCCTTTCCCTAAAATGCTTCCTGTTGCTTTTCGCTGGAGCTTCGTAGCATTTCTCATGCAGCTGGATGTCCTCATGACTCCCATCAGTCTGTCATCCGGGAGATAAAAAGCCAGTCAGTTTAGTTCATAATGTATACATCTGTCAGCTGGAGCCCGCTGAGAGCCGAGCGTCATTCAGGGGTCGGGTTTATCTGGCAGAAAGCCTCTTTCAGACTCCTTTCTGTTCGTCTGGCGGCACCCTGGTCGGACAGTCGGGATCGGACTGGGTCACAAATATTTCAACTGCATTCATACAAAAATTTGTTAAGTTGTGTCTGATTATTTAGGAATTTTTCCACATTTTAGCACCAATATTGGTCCATAACATTACCGTAATGTCCGGACTATAAGCCGCTACTTTTTTCACAAGCTTTGAACACTGATGCAGCTAATTTGTGGATTTTTACGATTTTTACAAATTTGCCTTGAGTGACATTGAGAGCGTCAATGAAAGAGAGACTGAGAAAGTGTGTGACGAAGTAATTCTGAAGAAGACGAGTTTAGTGGTTTTAGTGGAGGAGGAAGATGAAGATAGCGATCGATGACTTTTCCTGGTAGGCTGCTATAGTGCATATTTCCACATCAACATCCACACATACGGTAACTTTCAGCGGTCAAAACTGGTTTGTCTCCTTCCGGTTGGAAACACAGAGACACAAAGGTTCCCATTCACACCAAATACAGAACAGCGTTTCCTGATCTGCTCCTACATCCATTAGTAATAAAGGGCAGGTTTTGACAAAACAAGAACCTGAAGTTTAGTTTGTCGCTTCCTGCTGTTTGTAGGAGTCTTTCGTCTACGTTTATTATATACCAGCAGCATTCGACAGTAGCAGGATGCAAATTAGCATTTCTAAAGTAATGAACTTGTGCATATGACCTCATAGGGCTGCAAGGTGGCTCGGTGGTTAGCATCGTTGCCTCACAGCTAGAAGGTCGCCGGTTCGCATCCTGGTGAGGACACCTGGGATCTTCCTGCGTGGAGTCTCCATGTTCTCCCCGTGCAGCGTGGGTTCTCTCCGGGTTCTCCGGCTTCCTCCCACAGTCCAGAAACATGCTGAGGTTAATTGGTGATTGTAAATTGTCCGTAGGTGTGAATGTGAGTGTGCTTGGTTGTCTGTCTCTAAGTGTAGCCCTGTGATAGACTGGTTACCTGTCCAGGTGAACCTGCCTTCACCCTGAGTCAGCTGGGATAGGCTCCAGCCCCCCATGACCCTAGTGAGGATGAAGGTGTAGAGATGATGGATGGATGGACATTACCTCACATGGAACAACACTTGAACCTTCATTAGTTGATTATAATTCTGAATTATCCCCGACATGGAGACAAACCGGATCTAACCTCCGGATATTTCTACATCCCAATTGTATATTTTCAGTGTTTAGTGAATCATAGATAAATTATTTGGACATTTTAGTTTAGAATTAGTCTTTAGTTTATTACTGCATTATTCTGCATTATATGATTTGATGTTCTGTCTCGTATGTATCATAGATATTACCACGGATCCCTCCATTATTATGGGGGTTTGGTCTGAATGAATGAAAAAGAAAACCGTGAGAAACACTGATGAAGCTGTTTCATATCTCATTCCTCAATGGCATCAGCAAGAAGTTTGCACAAAGTTTGTAAGACGTAAAAAAGCTTCACTCTGCTTCACTGTTTAGATGCAAACCCCTCTTTTTCTTGTTGTTTGCATTGTCCCGTTAATTATCTTTCTTAGTCATGTAACTTCAGTTTTACACTAATCAGCTGCACCATCTGCAAAAACCGCCTCACCGTCACAAACCAGCGAACAAACCGACTGATTATCCAGCTCCTCTGTTCTACACCCACATCTGATCCACGGTGTGTTTAATTAATAACACTTTTCAACAGAGCC